TTTTTTTTTTTTTTTTTTTTTTGGTAAAGATAGAAAAGATTATAAAGATGTTTATAATGAGAATTGAACCTAGGTCTTCATGTTTTTAACAACTCCAAATCTTCTCTATCCAACTACTAGGCTAACCTAGTAGTTTAGAACTTTTACTTATTTAAAAAGAGGTGAGGGGAGGAGAAATATATATATTTTTTCTTGTTTAATTTAAAAAAGAAAATAATTTTAAAAATTGATTTATGTATGCATCTTTATAATTTAAGATTTAATAAAATAAATATAGATACTTTGAATATTAAATAAAAATATTTTAAAATCCTTCTAAATCTTTCGAATATAGAAAGAGTTAAAATTGGATAAGCAAAGAACCAAAGATTCCATTTCCTCCTCTGCTAAAAATTGAGATAAAAAATAATATTTTTTAAAAAATTTCCCTAACATTCATTTTCTTTTTATCAAATATTGTATGATGACTTATGAGTCTAATTTAATCTATCCATCATTAAAATGATCATTTATTATTTATTTACCTATCAAATTTAATATTATACAAGAATTAATAAAAAAAATTTAAGTCTCACATCGATTAAAATAAAACAAACAAATAATTTATAAATGAGATAAAATTCTTACATTATAAGTCAATCTTTAAATAAAGTTAGTTATGTCAAATAAAATATAAATGAGAAGACGTATAAATATAATGTCTTAAAGTTTTTATTTTTGGGTTAAAACATGGCATGAAGTTTACTTTTGTAGCATTATTAGATTCTTCATGTTGTTTAACTTGTGGTTTTCTAAACCGAAATATGCATTTGTTTTTAAATTTCATTTGATTGTTTTTATGGCAGGTCTTCTAAAGAATGCAATCGATTGGGCATCAAGGCCACCAAATGTTTGGGCTGGTAAAGCTGGTGCCATAGTAAGTGCTGGAGGAGGGCATGGTGGAGCAAAATCACACTATCATCTACGCCAAATTGGAGTCTTCCTAGACATTCATTTCATCAATAAACCTGAATTCTTCATCAATGCATTCCAGCCACCAGCAAAGTTTAACAGTCATGGTGACTTAATTGATGAAGATGCCAAGACTAGGTTGAAGGAAATCATTCTGTCCTTGAAGGCCTTTACCCTTAGACTTCAGGGAAAAAATTGAAGCAACTACTTCCCAAACTTGTTCAAATAAGCTTTGGATTTTGGTTCACTGCATATTGGAATAATATTTTATTGTATATTATTGGGGGACTCTTGTGCCTCCATGGCTGTATGACAACTGTGATATGGAATCTCAATACACATATTTCTTTACTTATATTTTTGGCCTAAATATAATTTTTTTTTAATATAATTTAGCGTTTTACACTTTTGACTCTTATAATTATCTCTTTTTTTTTTTATTGTTTTATCTATAACTTTTTATAACATTTCAGGATTAATTCTTAACGTTAACTTTTGTTAAAAAGAAATCTTAAGTTATTAACGAAATATATTGATGCAATCTTTGGAGAGAACGATGAACAATCCTCCTCAAGAACCACACGTCAAAGCTCTAGTTCCCTTGCTGCTTGAGATGAACGAATCTGGATCAAGAAGACAACGAAAATGTGATGGAGTTGGCTTGGAAATTAAGCTAGGCGAGTAGAAGCAAGCAAGTGATCTCAAACTACACAAGGAAGGTTTTCTTGTTGGAGTCTTCAAGGAGAAAATTCTCCTAAGAACTTTAAGACTTTTGAAGGGAGAATTCTAGAGAATCAATACTCTCATAAATCTCAAAAGTTACTACAAAGTGGAGGTAGAAGAGTTTATATAGAAGAGGGAAGGGCTAATAGCTTGCTTTGGAAACTTGGCACCACAATTAGAATTTGAATTCAAATTCAAATTCTTTGGTCGACTCCTCCACATACTATACGTCCACACTTCATAGATGCATGCACTCACATTTGAGTTAGCATTTGAGTTGAATTAGGTGCTACATGTGCTTCATGTGCACATGGCTTCCTAATTCATTCTAAATGTACCTTAAATTAAATTGTAAGTTACATGTATTTTTCCTAAACTCTTTTAAGTTCTATACTATATGTCTCATATATACAAAGCCAAAAATACCTATTCAAAAATTTCTAAAATAAAAAGACAAAACTAACAAGCCCAATAATGACTATATAATACCCTAGACTCACTAAGCCCAAGAATAGGCCCAATAGGCCCAATGCCTACAAACTCTAAGGTCCAAAATACAATACTAAAAGTATGTATCTAATCATTATTCTAAGACATATATGAAAATAAAGGCTCTAAGAAATAATCCAAGAAAGTAGAAGCTTGGGCTCACCCTCTCCATGATGGTCCACGCCCTAATCCTCCTTGCCATAACCCTAGTGGTAGGCCCCTTGGCCTTGCTGTTGAGTTTAAAGCCTTTTTGAAGGTGTAGTTTTAGTTTTAATGTAGCTTTGTTTAAGTTTGCTTCATTTTATATTTTTGACCTATGTTAAAAGGATATTGTATTGGTTGTTTCATAAGACTTAGGTGTGTATGTGTTTGCTTGTTATGTTGTTTGTTTTCAAAATTTATCTTGTTTTTTTAGTAAACATATCCCAATCTTTCTCATTTTATGTGTGTAGACGTCATATTTCATTCAGGCTGTCAAGACTAAGGACAAAGGACTGCTAGAACAACAAGAACGACTCCTAAAGGCCCATAAGAGCACCGAAACAGACCAAAACAATAATAAAAGGTCCAAAAGCATGAACGTCAGAGTTTATGCACGGAACAAGCCGTTCTTAAATCGAAATGGGCCATTCCAAACCACAAATTTGGCCTAAAATCCTAGTTGGGAATGGCTTGTTCCCAATCCAGAACAAGTTGTTCCGACCCATAAAAAATAATGTGTAACCTTAGTTGGGAATGATCCGTTCCCAAACCAGAACGACCCATTCCCAACTCAAAATTTGGTCTAAAACCCTAGTTTGGAATGATCATACTGCACCTTTAGGTGCCTATAAATGTGTGCCTAATGCACGCATTCCCACACATACTAATCAGTTGACCTAGTCCTAGTAGAATCTCTCTCTCTTCCCTCTCTATATTTTCTTGAGTGTCTATGAGACTTTTGTAGAGCGAAAGGCTGGAAAAACACGTCTATATACCACATTTGGAGGATTAATCTATAAAAGCTTGTTATAGAAGTATTTTAATCAATTTCTCTCTCTCTCTCTCTCTCTCTCTCTTTCATTATTTATTTAATTGTTTATTTGTATTATTGCCATAAAATATCATTCACCATGTAGACGTTTGATATAGGTTTAATTAATAAAAAAGGGTAAACATTTAAATTAGTTTATTATTATGTTAAAATCATCATAGGGTATCAAATTAGGACATTGTAAGGGGTCTAACACCTTTTTTACACGTAATCGACCTCCAAACTCAATTTTGGCTATCAAGGCCATTATTGATTTTGAAAACCTTTTCCTTTTTCCAACGTTTTGAGTAAAATGTTGGTGACGACTCCTAAGAACCTTTTTCAAAAACTATTTGTGAAGGATTAGTCTGATCTTCAGGTATTCCTAAACCGATGATATTTTCAAATAGAAGTCAAAAACCATATGTGGGCAAGATCAATTTTTTTTAGGTCCAACAGATGGAAACTTCACTGGGGAAGCTTAAAGAGGGCCATACCTATTTAATGACAAATTTAGCAAAATAAAAATAATTATCCAAACTTTTACCCCTTTTACCTTTTTTGTAAATATTTACTTGTTTGCTTTAGTGTGGCTTTAATATTTGCTTGCATGTTTAAATTTTGCACTTGTTTGAAATAAAAATCTTACACAAAACATTGCACACAACAGTTCCCCTACACCCGAGGGTAAGAGTGGATAGTCATAAGGAGTGGTTAATGTACGACCGACCTGAGTGATGACCTTGAGCCTATAGGTTGTTGTTAGAAATCACACTCAAGGTGATAACCGGTTACTCTTGTTTGAAATACTGCGATGGACCCTAGAGTCTGCTAGGTGACAACGATAGAGATATTGAGTCCCTATAATGGGGAAACCTCGGGAGCCTTTTAAAGACCGGTGAGAATAGTTAGAACCATCCTATACCATGCATCTTTCTTTACAGGGACCTTAACCCATGGATTAGAACGTTGTTGTTCATGGGTGTATGTTGTTTGAACATATGTTTGTTGCATGTTTGTTTGTTTCAAATAGGAGTGGATTGGGATCTTAGGCAAGCAAATAGATATTAATAAATAAAAATTAATACCTTTCTGTATGTCCTTACATCATCATAGTATAACATCATATAAGTAGTTTCCTTTCCAAAAAATAATAAATAAATATTAATAAATAAAAAAATGTTCTTATCATGCATCATCTCCCTTAACTAATCAAAACATGATAAAACTTAGGCAAAAACATATACCATGCATTTTTTTTAGGATAATGCATTAATATTCATTTATTCTATTATTAGATGTGGAAGGCATAGATAATAACATGTATGGACCATTGGGAAAAGTGAACATCCTAAACTACAAGAGCCATCAATCTATGCCTCCTAATGTCAAAGGAGGCCCGGTCAGATTTTTGGTTTATCATTATCCTTTCAGAAAACATACTCCTTTGAAGTAAAGTCTACTTCTTCTTGGGTTTCCCATGAACTTCCAACCCAAAATGAAACTCGAGTCACAACCCGGTTTCACTACTACCACTCACAGAAACTACTACCAATATATGAGCATTTCCGAACTAGTTTCCAAGTTGTGTGTTGTGTACAAGGTAGAACATTTTAATCGAGTTGAAGAGGAATTAGTGAAGAAGGACGTCATACTTAAAAGCAAAGATGGGGTCACTTGAGGAGAAGATTCAAGAGAAGAGGTGCGGAATAATTGAAGCCGAAGAAATAAAAAAGGAAGAATTTGAAAAGGGGAAGAGGTTGCTTCATAAAAACACTGTTGAGGAGCTAAGACAAAAGAACCTTGCCTTATAACATGAAAGTTGTGAGCTCAAGGGGTTGAAAAATGGGCAAAGAATAACAATGCCTGAACTTAAGAGTAAGGTTGACGAGTCAAAAAGGTAAAGGGTGTTCTGTGTTTGCTAATAAATTTGAGAACTTTGGTGATCGCCGAGGTAGTGGTGGACTCGGAGACTCCATTTTATTGACGGTTGATTCTGATGGGGATAGTAAGAGTGATGAAGAATTTGAAAATCTTAGAAGAGCTGAAGACTGAAAACTACAAATTGACAGATGAGAAGACACGTTATAAAAGTTGAAGATGACTGTAGAGATGTCAACCAAACATGAACTTTTGAAAATCTTTTGAAAAGCTTTTGAAAAATCTTTCTAAACAAGCCCTTTGAAAAATAAAAAACCATCCCTCCTTTTCTTCTCTCATGACCAACATGGCATTAAGGAAGTACCAAGAGATACATCGAGAATGCACAATGAATACTCGTAGAGGGAAGACTAAGACATTTTTGAACAGAGTCTAGGAACATTTGACTAAACATCATTTGGGATAAACAAGGAGCAACTAAGCCACAGGTTTAAGAGAGTACATCCTGGTAATGAGCAAATAAAGCACGAACAAGAAAACAAATCGTCTACATTAACAATGAATGTGTACAAATTAATTTCCTCACAATAAAATTGAATTGCATTTTTTAGGAATAAGACATAAGCATAAAATCTCATGCATATGACATAGGGGCATATAAAAAGGCAATAATTAAAAAAAAGCCACTTTTTGACCAGAACGGGCTGTTCCAAAAGTGGAACGGTCGTTCCCCGTATCGTAACGCAGAACGGGCCATTCTTAAAAGTGGAACAGCCGTTTCGCGTGTTTCTGGTGCCTATATAAGGGTTTCTCCCCCCCATTTTCCTTGTCCACTCCAAAACTTCCATATATGTTTCCTTTGCTTTCATTTTTAGCATATTGTTTACATTTCCCTCCAAACCCCTCACCAAAGATGAGCCAAGGTGAATCCTCCCAGGCAAGGTCCAACAAGCGAACTTGAGGCCCTACTTCGACGACCCTAGTCTCACCCCCCGCAGGTCTTGTGGTCATGAGTGACAAGATGGGAAAAAGTGTTGCCTGAGGAGCTTCGACTTCATCCCTTCCAGGTCATTGGAGTTGGGGATACTAGAGTAGGTGGGGATTCTAGGCAGAGTCCAGGATCTTCTAGCAGCCAAAGGATGAGAATTCCTTGTAGAGCGTCTCGGGTCCTCTTACAAGGATGCCACCATCGAGTTCTTGGCGTTCTCCATGTAGTACACCTCTAGGGCTTCTGTCGGACCGAACGTCATGG